ACTCCTCCCCGAACTTCCCGCTGCCCTGTATCTTGGTCTCTCATTGGCTGTAGGTCATCACCGATGTGTTTTTCAGTCAAAACTCATTTCACACAGCGTGATTGTAAATCGCTAAGCCTAAAAATATATATCAAACAGCCCCTATATCACCACATGTTGTTCAAATGGGTTTCAAGAAAAAAACCCTGGCTCACCCAAAAACAAACTCTAGCATATTCAGTTGTCAGACATGACTGGAACTTCAAATGGGACTGGCTTCTATGGTCAGATGAAACATAAAAAGAGCTTTTTGGCAGCAAACCCACCAGATGGGTTTAGTACAAACTGGGATAAAAAGTACCCCATGCCTACAGTTAAATATACTGCTGGATCTTTAATGCTGTGGGCATGTTTTTCTGCCGGAGGTCCTGGACGTCTTGGAACAGGAACTGAACCAAATAAGGGCAGACAGGAACTAAACAGAAACAAACACGTGACACTACCATTATTGGCACCCCTAGACATTATTTTGAGTAAAATATCTCTGAAGTATATTCCTATTCATATTTACATTTTTAGCATGGATTCTATCAAATAACAACAGATAAAAAATCTAAACCTGACTGCCTCTGGTACAAATCTTATAATGGACCATGTTTGGATCTTCCATGAAGACAGTGATGCAAAACAAACATCAAAATCAACACAAAAATGTGTCACTGAGCACAAAATGAAGCTTCTGCCATGGTTGTCTCAGTTCCCTGACCTGAACCCTATAGAAAATGAGTTGGGTGAACTGAAAAGAAGCACCAACATGGAGCTGGTATTCTGAAGGATCTGGAGAGATTCTGGATGAAGGAATGGTCTCTGATCTCTTATCAGGTGTTCTCCAAACTCATCAGGCATTATAGGAGAAAACTGTTGTCTTGGGAAAAGGTCGTTGCAATAATTGGGTGCCAATAACTGTGGCTAATGTGAACTAGAGAAAAACATTTATTTTATAATGTGAGTTTCCCCCACTTTCCATTGTTTTACTTCAATGAAAGGTTCGAATTTTGTAAATTTTTTGAATGAAAGATCAAAAAGATAAACAATGCAGATTTATTTTCACAGCCACCTTTGCTCATATTTACCAAGGGTGCCAATATTAGTGGGCGGCACTGTAGGTTTTTTTTTTTAGGGAGAGTTCACCCAAAGATTAAAGGGACAATTCACCCAGAAATGAAAATTCTGTCATCTTTTACTCAACCTCATGTTGTTCCAAACCTGTAAGGGTTTCGTTCTTCTTTTGAGTTGTTAACCAAAAGAAGCTGTTAACCAAACAGTTGACTGTAGCCATTGACTTTCGTAGTATGGAAAAAAAAAAATACTATGGAAGTTAATGGCTACCATCAACTGTATGGTTATCAACAATTGACACTTTTAAGACTTGTATTCAGAGAATGTATGGTCATACTTCATTTTAAGGCTCAATTTTTGCTATTAACAAACCATTAACTATGACTTTTGCCTCAATAAACTACTAATTTATTAATTATTAATAGTAAGGTAGTTGTTAAGTTTAGGTATTGGGTAGGATTAGGGATGTAGAATATGGTCATGCAGAATATGTGCTTTATAAGCCCTAATAAACAGCCAATATGTTAATAATAGGCATGCTAATAAGCAACTAGTAAATAGTGAGAATTGGTCCCTATACTAAAGTGCTACCGAATGTACTTTGAATATCATAGTGTATTTTGTTCCATTGGCATTTTTTCACTTTGTCTAACTATAAAGTACAAACATGCAAAAAGACAAACAAGCAGTGCAGTTTAAGAGTAGTATTTTGTCAGTGTAGAACAGTGTAGAAAGTGCCTAATGTCGAACACAAAATGTGGGCTGCAGTTATAGAAATCTGTGGCACAGAATTGGATTGTTCCCAGTGGGAAGCATGACAAGAGAAAGGAGAGAAGAAGAATGGTGAACGTGTGAATGTTGTTGTTGTGTGTGTGTGTGTGTGTGTGTGAAGGAGAGGCTGAAGAAGGGCAGAAAAAGCATAAGTTGTTGTGATTATGCAATAGAGTTGTATGTTGGTCTGCTGCGACCTTCAGCATAAAGCCATGTGTTTTGTTTTTTGTTTTTCTTAGACAGGACAAGGATGCAAGGGCTAGAGGGAAGGACAGTAGAAGGACATGACAACTTACATAAGCCACACACTTATTCTGAATTCACTCTAACTGGAGTGAACTGATCTCCCAAATGCAATCTCAGTTGCATTCAACTCATAATGTCACACATTTCGAGGGAGAGGGCACAGCAGACATGTTAGCATACTCCATCTGGATGCCTGGAGGTTGCCATGCTGCTGTAGTCCTGGAGATGCAACTATATGGTCTTTAGAGACCTCACTGCCAACCCCAGCAGTGAGGGGGATGGACTTGTTCTTTAAAAAAGGTATCAGACACAAAATTAATTTTATATTCACTTCTACAAACATAATTTTAGGGTTAGATTTAAGTCTGTAGTAAATGCACATTACCATTCAAAAGTTGGTGGGGTTGATAAACCTTTTTAATGTTTTTGTAAGATGTCGCTTACCAAGGCTGCATTTATTTGATCAAAAATACATTAAAAACGGTAATATTGTGAAATATTTTTACAATTTAAAATAACTGTTTTGTATTTTAATATGTTTTAAAATGTCATTTATTCCTGTGATGTATGAAATGTCAGCATCATTACTCCAGTCTTCAGTGTCCTTCAGAACTCATTCTAATATGCTGATTTGATGCTCAAGAAATATTTGTTTATTTTCAGTGTTGAAAACTGCTTAATATTCTTGTGAAAAACTGCATTCTTTGATGAACTGGTCTAAATAACATCATTTATTTGAAATATAAATATTTTGTAACATTACAAATGTTTTAAATGTTCTTTCAGTTTGGACCAATATTGAGCAACCTTGCTGAAAATATTAACTTGTATAATCTTACTGACCCCAAACTTTTTAACAGTTGTGTAATTTTCTAAATGCGTCTTTGAATGTGCAGTTTAATGACTACTTGACTGACAGCACTACTTAATTTCTGTATTCCTTTGCTTAATTAATTCTGAGGTTTGTGAACTGATAATAATTAATGGAGTCTGTTACACAAACAGGTTTCTCACAGCATATTTCTAAAGAGTCACAGGAGCATTGAGGTATTTTAACAACAGTGTATTTCTGTATTCCACCTTCAAAGATTAAAGGGGTCATATGATGCTATTTTAAGGATCATTATTTTGTGTATTTGGTATAACAGAATATGTTGACATGCTTTAATGTTCAAAAAACACATTATTTTTCAAATACTGTACATTATTGTAGGTTCTGTATGCCCCGCCTCTCACAAACACGTCGTTTTCAACAAATTTTACAGATCTTCTTTATGCACCAACAGCTTGTAACACTCCAAAGAGAAATGAAAAATTGAAATCGCATCATATGACCCCTTTAACAACAGACCAACATTTAGCACATCAGTTTGTTTGCCAAATATGTGCTTCACAGCACAGCTGATATTCTCTGAGTGCAATATTTAAAAAAATAACTATTTTTAATGTTTCTGTACTTATGTTTTAAACCCAACTTACACATTATCTTGAAAAGGAACCTGGAACTTCATAAATGTTCAAATCTATTAATATTCATAATTGCTATCAGTACTGACTGAAGTTCAAAAAAGCAAACTGTCTAGTGACAGCACACTTTTTAGTTACTTTCTTTATTGCTCTTGCTTGCCTGCTTGTGTGAGAAAGCAAAAGGTCTTGTGATTGACTGTGATTATTTTGTGTTGAGTCTTTCTAGTATTTTGAACAGCCTGTGGTCTAATTTGATAACAGGAAGGTGTGATGTTTTGCTCAATCATTCCAGACTGGCAGTAAATGAGTTTTTTCTCATATTGAGATCAGTTATGTGATCAACCATTACTTACAAAAATAATAGATAATCTACATAAATGTCATACACATATTGCATACACTGACAGGGATGTGAATGGCACACTTATGGTAAAACATTAGTTGAGTGGCATGATTTTTGTTTAGCGCACAAGGGGATATTTTAAACAGCCAGTGATTACCACACATTTTTATTAACCTGCAGTAACTGTTCAAAAATAATAATTAAATTACTTTAACATTATTATTATTGTTGTTGTTGTTGTTGTTGTTGTTGTTGTTGTTGTTGTTGTTGTTGTTGTTGTTGTTGTTGTTGTTGTTGTTGTTGTTATACTCCATCTGCAGCTTATGGAGTTTAAGAGAATGATCACATCACATTGAACACTTCCTGATGTTTCCTTTGTCCTCAGAATAAACATGGATACAATTGAAGCACTGTGCTGGCCCTACAGATACATTGATTTGATTTCTGTCTTGTTTATCTCCAGGAAGGGCTGGAGGCATCAAGCCCACAGAGTGTTAATATCATCATCTTTCCCAGTAGGCTTTATTGAATCTGTTTGTATCTCTGTAGCCTATGCACGTATGTGTGAGAGTGTGTGTGGCTTATTTTGGTTTCTCTCTGGTCCTAATGGAAAGGGTGAAAGAAGTCAGAGAGGAGCTAATGGCTGGAGTTGGGCTTCTCGCGAGCTGACACGAAAGTCTGCCACCCCACATACTTAAAAATTAAAACGGGTCAGGATTAAAATTTAAACACAGCAGACTTGAGAATCTAATCCACTGAGGGATGAAAGTCTGGGGAGCGTTCCTGTTCTGCGGTCCTCAGAGAGGTAGGTTTGCGAGTGTGAGTGTGTGTCTCAGAGCAGGGCTATTATATACTTATTAACTGACATAATCCCACACCAGTATGATCTCTCTATCTGTGTGGGAAAGAAGAAAATGTCTCTTTTGTGTATTATGTAACACCTGCTACTGTAAACTATTGAAAGTGCTTAAAAAACTGACCATCCGTCTCATCTTTGTCTCCTATTTCCCTTCTTTTCTTTCCATCTTCCTATCTTCTATCGAACGTCCACACATCTACCATCTCCTCCATACAGTGAGCTCAAACCTGAGCAGTCATGCTCATGAGTACCCAGACTGCCAAGAAGGGGGTAATGAAGCCAGCCTGCTGGTGTCCCCTCTGGTGGTGGCTGGCATCGTCATCGGCCTGGTGCTCTTCCTCTCCTGCGTCACCATCATTGTGGGCAGTCTGCGCAAAGACAGCCGCCTGCGCAACCCCCACCTGCATGCCAGCTACGGTCAGTGGTCTAACTTCATGGGCTCCACAACACATCAAAAACACACCATGGCTTTGTTTGTAGTTTCTGTGTGGCATAAGGACATGCATAACAAGTTGATTTGTTTTCAAAAAGTTGAGAGGAATCAGCCCTTCCACGCATTCAGCCTTTGTTTGGGAGTTCAGGGAATGAAGGCCAATCCTTGCATAGCCCTACTGCTTCTATCAGTTAGCCTGGTCCAAGGTAGCCTTGTAGTTAGTGATATGGTCAACATGACCCTCTCTCTACAATTTGGCATTGACTGTATTATAAACTGCAAAAATATACGTTGAACTTTGTGTGTCCTAACAGAGTAACCACTGGTGTATTTTATCATGAACCATGGTCATGTTTCACTCTGTTTTATAGTTTTGAACCTTTTTTGTTCAGTTTGTGCCAATAAAGAATATCTCTTTGGTTTTGAGACTTTAGTCTTTGCAACTTCAGGGATCTTATCTATGCACAATCAGCTTGTAACACTCCAAAGAGAAAGGAAAACTTGAAATCGCATCATATGACCCCTTTAAATGTCACTTAGTTTGATTTTCTTTTTTTGTCTTATGCAGTGACATTTATACATTTTTAACGAGGTCATATCATGAAAAATTAATTTTTCCTTTTAGATTGAGTTCATTGTACTATGAAAACACTGTATCTTTCTTTTTATCCTTGATCATTTCAGTCTGATCTTTACAGATTATGAGGCACATACATATGTTCCTTTACCTTGATGTATTTACATGTATCGGGCATTAAGGAAATATAATGTTTTTTTATGTCATAATCACACTTTTAAACACATTTTATTGTATAAGCACAACCATTTGAAGGAATAGTTCACACTGTCATAATTTACTCATGCACATGTCGTTCCAAACCCATAAGAGTTTTGAAACACAAATGACAGATATTTTTATTTTAAATCTCTGACGTTCCTGTCCCTCCATTGATAGTCACCCAAAATTTTCAAGGTTCAGAAAAGAGGTATGAGAGCAGATTATAGGAATAAAGGTAATCCATAGTGGTTTAAGCCTTATAAAGAGACATGATTACTTTATATGATGAACAGATTTTATTAATGATCAACACACATTCATAGAGCTCATTAAATATGGAATACAGAAGATCAAATGTGTGAAACGTCCGTAGTTCTCATGTGTCAAGCAAGCAAATGGATTTTCAGTGGATGGACCAAAATATCTTAGGTTTCATTAAAAATATATATTTTCATCATAAAATCTGTGTTGTGAAAAAACCAAAGGGTTTGGAAGACATGAGTAAATGATGACAGAATTCACATTTTTGGATGTATCATTCCTTTTATAAACTTGACAATAACTGTTTGGATATAAATAAAATAATATGCAATGTATGAAAGTCCCACTCTCAATAACATTCTCAAAATTGTAATAGGAGAAACAAAAATTATCACGTTTTGTTGCTGTTGTTTCTACAGCTCCAGATGGCCTCTCATATGGTGGCTCCATTGGAGAGCTGAGGTCTGGAATACAGAAGATCAAATGTGTGAAACGTCCGTAGTTCTCATGTGTCAAGCAAGCAAATGGATTTTCAGTGGATGGACCAAAATATCTTAGGTTTCATTAAAAATATATATTTTCATCATAAAATCTGTGTTGTGAAAAAACCAAAGGGTTTGGAAGACATGAGTAAATGATGACAGAATTCACATTTTTGGATGTATCATTCCTTTTATAAACTTGACAATAACTGTTTGGATATAAATAAAATAATATGCAATGTATGAAAGTCCCACTCTCAATAACATTCTCAAAATTGTAATAGGAGAAACAAAAATTATCACGTTTTGTTGCTGTTGTTTCTACAGCTCCAGATGGCCTCTCATATGGTGGCTCCATTGGAGAGCTGAGGTCCACTTGTGTTGAGGACTTTCCCCCTGCATTTGACTTTGACTCCTATGTGGAGACGCTATCTCAAGTCAACGTCATGTACCCAGACTCTCCACCTCAGTGAGTCACATTTTACCTCTGCAGAGTCTGTGAATATATATTGTATGTACAGTGTGGGGTAGAGGAGGGAACATGTGCGATTGTAATCGGTAATGAGATCACTTTATCGGCTGTGACAGAGAAGGCACACTTCCTCTTTAAGGGATTCCATTCCATCGTCCTTTTCACAGTCTTTAAAGGCCTCAGCGTAGCATGAGCTGATAACCACGTTAAAAGTCAGTTAGAGATGCTAAAGATAGAAATAGTCCAGAATAATTTGCCATATTTCAACTATATTTCACTCGTTTCTCTCTCAACCTGATTTGAAATGTAACTTGCACCCATCTTATCAGATTCAGACATTCATTCTTGAAGGGTCTGTTTGAAAATAATGAAACCTGTTCTAGTTAGATTAGTTCTGGTGTCTGGGAAAAGCAGAATTACTCTGTGTTGACACAAACTTTACGTATATTTGTTAGCTAAAACCAGAGTTGGACTCTGTGTAAATTTTTTTTGTATTGCGTAAAATTAGGAATAAGATAAATAAATGGTCAAAAATAGAAAGCGTCTGCAGGGAACCAGATGGACCAGTTGTATTCACTCTTCTACAGCTCTCACTCCTTTTCTTCCGTCACTTTTCAGAAGTTTTCACCTTTCGCAGTCCTCCCCCATCCTGTTAGGAAGGTTGGACACCTTTAACTTTTCAATTCTCCTAAAAAGCGGGGATTGCTGTTAAATGCCATGGCTTTGCACTGAAAAAGGCTTGGTGCGTTTGATCTAAATGGCAGCTTGTCTAATTGGCATCTTCAAAGAATCTGTCAGTTCCCTTCCTTGCCATTTAGCCTGCCTGCCTTCACACAGTGACCCATAAAATACTCCTCAGGTAGGGGAGCCCATCACAGAGGGATGTCTCAGAGCGAGAAAGGTTTATTGTTTATAAGATCTCATTCCAACACTATGATTGTAGGGTGGATGTCAAAACCAGATCCTAACATTTTGGAAGCAGCTCAAATGGCCATTGCTGTTTTTAGCATTTATTACTCATAAGAGCACTGCAAAAGCATTTTTATTGCGTAAACTAAGGAACTTCATAACCTTGTAATGCATTACAAAATCAATACCAAATCATTAGCTGAGGCGATACATTTCAAAATTATTATGACCTCAGGGATATCTGTACATCCTGGAGTCATTATAACTATACTCTGTATCAAATAACTATAATCTATCCATTTGGGATCTATAAATTATATTATTTTATTTCAAGCAAACTCCAAAACCATTATAACCTCCTTGGGGATAGGCTTTATATACTGATATTTTTATGACTTCATAATAGAAGTGTATAATCTAAAATTATTATGACCGTATTAGGAACATTCTAAAATTATGAGGTCATAGTGATTTTGGAATGTATAGCTTCTGATATAGAAGTAATTAAATCTTTAAAAAAGCCAATGATATTAGAAATCAAATACACCTTATGAGGTCATGTTATTGTGGAATGTATTGCATGAACTCTCATCTTTAGCCTACTCAACCAAAGATACAGTGGTGGCCAAAATAATTAGAACACTAGTATTTTCACCAGCCAAAAAAATGGTTTCAAGTCAGCTATTTCTATATTTTGCTGTAGTGTGTCAGTAGGAAATATCAGTTTACATTTCCAAACATTCATTTTGCCACTAATTGTAATAATCCAGTGAGATTTTTGTTTGACAGCAGCCAGTGCTCCACACAGAGATCTGATCTCTTCATCATCCAGTCTGTCTGGAATGACATGAAGAAACAGAACAAACTGAGACAGACTAAATCCAGAAGAACTGTGGCAACGTCTCCAAGATGCTTCACGAGACCTACCTGCAAAGCTACCTGAAAAACTATGCGCAAGTGCACCTAGGGCAAAAGCTGCTTTAAACACAAAGGATGGTCTCACTAAATGTTGATGTAATTTAGTTAATAGAAGTTAATTGATAAAGAAAATCTATTTATGACTCTATATTTGACAGCATCCTCATTTTACAGCATTTTTACACAAGTGCCTAAAACTTTGAACAGTACTGTAGCTTTGCAGGTATGTCTCTTGAAGCATCTTGGAGACATTGCCACAGTTCTTCTGGATTTAGTCTGTCTTCATTCATGATATGAATGAAAGTGTGCACACATGACAGCACACTGCACACTGGCAGTGTTTAGTATGGGAAATAAAAAAAAAGTGCACTGCTACACCCACATTCATTTAACATGCCAAACCAACCTTTCATTTGAGTTCAGGTTTTCTGGAAAGTGCAATAGGTGAGTGAAACGAATGACTGCTTACTGAAATGTAAGGAGACTGGATTTAAAGTCTACATTTCAGTTTTTAAACTGTAAGTTTCAGATATGAACTACGGACCAGATTAGCCCATCATTTTGACTATTTATCAAAATCAGTTAAGTTTGTGTTGAAAAATCTGAGCAAATGTACAGTAAAGGTGATCTGTTTGACAGTGTGGGACATCTACAAGGTCATACAAATCAAGCATATGAACAAATTTTTTATGAATGGTAACAAGGTGAAAGCTGAGCTTATGAATATTAGGCTTGTAGCAAATTAGCTCAAAAGGGAAATGTATATAAATAATTATGTTTGTTAATCTAATGAATAATTGATTTGTTAAATCAAATGAAAAATGGTGTGTTTGATTGGTCCAGACGCTACAGGCTATATGACTGAACAGTCTAGGAAAATTACCATGCAATGTAAGCATGAGCTCATTAATATTCATTAGTTTGATGTCACAACCCACCCATCTTGCCCTCTTATCCCCCTTTAAATTTTAAACACTGCCCGGATATATACTTTAAACGTTATTGAATGCAATGCATGTAAATGTACCCCTGCTCTAAATAAAAACTGTTGCGTGCCGCTGTCAAAGATGTTGATTCGAACCTTGACTAAAGTCAAGGTTGACTTGTGACTTCATGCAGAACAATCACTTCTGATTGACCTGACTGTTGAGTCAGTTAATCTGCTCTCGAAGTGACTCTGTCTAGTTAAGTTATTTATCACTTTCTCAATACTGAAGTGCTTCCTCGGTTGCAAAAACAAATATCTAAATTGTCAAGCATGTGGCTGTCTGTTTGTGTGTGTGTGTGTGTGTGTGTGTGTGTATTAAATATCAGAGAGGAAAGTTTTAGTTAGGGTCATGCTTGTGCTCAACTTGCCTGCCCTTCATGGCTTGTTTCACAGGGAGCCAATGTTATTTACATCTCTATGACAGTTCCATTAGGCTGGCAGAACCCTCTGGTGAAGCTCTGTGAAGGGGCTTTTGAATAGGGTGAAATTACCTCTCCCCGGGAGCAAGAGCTACCTGAAAGAGCAGGGCCTCCTCCTATTAAAAAGCAAATTATGACTGATATAGAATATTAGTGCTGGCCTGGAGGCCTATTAAGAATTACTGAATAGTGTGTAATTCTGTTTGGGAGAGATATCCGACCCTCAGTCCAGATACTCAATTTAATTAGAGACCAGCAGTCCATACCCGCACACCTCTGTGAGAGGATGTGGTAAGACGATGGAAGATTACCACTATACACTCTTGAACATATTTTGTTCTACATTGAAAAGTCTTCATCCAATGAAACAATGTTTATGGAAACAAACTATCTTATTATTCTACAGCAGAGGCGCGGGAAGGAGGGGTGTTGCAGCACCCCCTGTTTTTACAGGATTGTAAACATATTTATATGAAGAAATTATTAGGCTACATTTAAAATCAGTAAAAATTGTTTTTTTTTTAATTGTTCATTATTTTTTCTTCCCTCACTTATTTCTTGATAGACCTTGTAAATTAGAAAGTACAATATCAGATTTATCACTATTCTATACACCAGGGTTGTGGACTCGAGTCACATGACTCGAGACTTGACTCGGACTCGAGTCCCAAATTTGATGACTTGCGACTCGACTCAACATAATTAAAGAAGACTTGAGACTCGACTTAGACTTTGACAGCAATGACTCGAGACTTGACTTGGACTTGAGCCCTGTGACTCGGAAAGACTT